GACACTACCCGTCTTGTGCACGTTCCCAGCGAAGCATGAGCGAGTCCAGATTCCCTCCCGCCCCAGCCCCGCGCCGCCCTCCCATAGTCGCGTGCTGCCTGTCTGGTAGACACGCTCACGCAGTGGGAACGAATCTACCAGGCAGGCAGTATGCAACTACATACTGATACTCCTAATGATGATAAACATACCTAATTAGAAAATACCGGACATGTTATAGATCTGGTATTTTCTCAGTTTGACAGAACCATTCCCTCCCGCCCCAGCCCCGCGCCGCCCTCCCATAGTCGCGTGCTGCCTGTCTGGTAGACACGCTCACGCAGTGGGAACGAATCTACCAGGCAGGCAGTATGCAACTACATACTGATACTCCTAATGATGATAAACATACCTAATTAGAAAATACCGGACATGTTATAGATCTGGTATTTTCTCAGTTTGACAGAACCCTCAAATACCAGACTGTCTGGTTCAAAACTGGACACCTGGCAACCCTAAATGGGTTTTACTAAACAGCAAAATAAGGAAAAATAACCTGATCGCAACTACATACACGTTTCTACTCACACTCTGTGCTGATCCAGACTTCAAGGCCCAGTTCACTTCCACAGCCAATATTTTTTATAGGCATGGTAATTCTAATCACTGCATCCGTTCCCTCCAGCCCTTAACTTAGAGTTTCCATACAAAAAAAGCTGGCAAGGTATCTATATGCAATTCCAAGTTCAGTACTTTATCCCACTGGTTCTTCTGGCCCCCTGCCTATACACTTGCTGACTACCTAAGTTTAACCCTTCAGTCACCGGGTGCTGGCCAGCACTCCTCCTAGCCATCACAGTGCTGTGTTAATACTCATAGGCTACGTCGAGACTGGCATGATTTTCCGCAAATGCTTTTAATGGAGAAGTTTTCCGTTAAAAGCATTTGTGGAAAAGAGCGTCTAGATTGGCATGGATGCTTTTCCACAAAAGCACTTTTGGCGGAAAAGCGTCTGTGCCAATCTAGACACGCTTTTGCGCAAAAAAGCCCCGATCACCATTTTCGCGATCGGGGCTTTTTTTGCACAAAACAAATCTGAGCTGTCTACACTGGCCCTTTTGCACAAAAGCTTTGCGCAAAAGGACTTTTGCCTGAACGGGAGCAGCATAGTATTTCCGCAAGAAGCACTGATTTCAGACAGTAGGAAGTCAGTGTTCTTGTGGAAATTCAAGCGGCCAGTGTAGACAGCTGGCAAGTTTTTCCGCAAAAGCAGATGCTTTTGCAGAAAAACTTGCCAGTCTAGACACAGCCATAGAGTCACTTTGCATTCTCCAGACAGAATGGACGCTGATTATATTGAGTCTAAACTCCAAACCCAGTGTATGTGCTTGTTCTCTTGTGACGACTCAGGAGTGGTCTGCTGAAGCAGAGGGGCTGATGGTTCGTTCACAGAGCTGTAGATCTTTGGGAACTGTTGTTTCTGCAGCTTTGGTGGCCGTCAACCCACCCCCTTCTCCTTGGATCACATATCCCTATTATTGTTTAGTGCTGAGGGTAGACTGAATAAAAACAGCATTCCTCATTGTCAGGGTTCTGTGCGTGGCACGGAGATTGTGGAAGACACGGATTCCATGGTTTTCTGCAACCTCTGTGACTTCTGAAGCTATCAGAGGGCTGACCCTGGGGCCGGTTTTCCCCATACACCTGCTGAATGAATTTTGTTATGTGCACCAATGTAGAGGTGATATGTCACACAAACAGAATCCATTTGGTGGGAGTGGGGCTGAGGGGTTCAGAGTGTGTGAGGGCTCCATGCTAGGGCAGAAGCTAGAGGTTCAGGCTCTGTGATGGGGTCAGCGATGAGGGGCTCAGGGCTGGGGTAGAGAGTTGGGATGTGGGTGGGGAGCGGGTGCGGGCCCTGGAGTGGGCAGTGGAATGAAGGGCTTGGGGTTTAACCTGCCCTGTGTCTATGGTGGGGAGACCAGGTTGGGTTCACTGGAGGGGCACCTATCCCCCGGCCATGGCAGGTTGAGGTCTGGGCTAGGTGGAGACTAGGAGACGGGTGCCTGTCTTGGCCACAACAGATGAAGGGCCTGGCAAGGTGGGGACACAGCACCTGCATGGTCAAGCAGCGTGCAGGGAACTTCGCTGCCCAGGCTGCTGACTGCAGGCCCCAGGGACAGTTACACTAGGCACTGCTGGAGCAGTGGCCCCAGGCTGCAGTATGCAGGCAGCCAACCAAAGCAACCGTGGTCCTCTGGTTCCAAGCAGCCCGATGGAGCAGCCGTGGTCCTTTGGTCCCTGGCAGCTGGTGTCGGTGGCCATGGGCACGCCCCCCTCCAGCAGTGGCCTCCTCAGACACCACTTCTGTCCTCCAAGATTTAGTCACATGTATTTTTTGTGAAAGTCCTGAACAGTTCCATCTATGTTTCAGGTCCTGGTGGAGCTTGACCAAGTGAAATCCAGAATGCAGCTGGCTGCAGAGTCCCTCCAGGAAGCAGACAAGTGGAGCACCCTGAGTGCAGATATTGAGGAAACATTTAAAACACAAGTAGGTGCCTGCTTGAAAATAACAGTCTATAATAACCACATTTTAAAAAATCGTTTTGGGTCACCTTTAAAAGGAAGATCTGTCTCTGCTTTCCAGATGTCACTATGGAGCTTAGGTGTTGGCATTGTGGATATTGTGTTAACAACCTCCTAACTTCCTTTGGTGACAGGATGTGTCTGTGATCTCTGCCAAGTTAACTGGCATGCAGAACAGCCTGGCGATGCTTGTGGACACTCCAGACTACTCTGAGAAGTGCGTGCACCTAGAGGCTCTGAAGAACCGGCTAGAGGCCATGGCCAGCCCTCAGATTGTGGCCACTTTCAATGCTCAGTCTGTAGGTCAGTGCAGCTCTGTTTCCCTTGTCTTCATTTGTAGATGTAATTACATGTAGGTGCTGCCTTCATCAGCAGAGAGAGTTGTGGTGCTCTGACTAGCTGGGGGGCTGGAAGCATGCTGGAGCTGTTTGCAATGGACTGGCAGCTAGGGACACGTTGAGGAGCAGGAGCACTATTTTCCAAGCACTATTTTCCGCATCTTCCCCCATCTTTCCTAAGTCCTGTTTGCTTTCTGGTTCTGTTCTGTTTGGCTGTGTCTACACTGGCCACTTATTCCGGAAAATCAGCCGCTTTGGTTTTGGGCCTGGCTTTTCTCCCTTTCTCTATCTTTTACACTGTCCATTATTTGCCTGGGAAATGCTGGTGGTTGTTTGTATTTCAGTAGCACCTAGGGGCCTCTCCTCTATAAGGATCATGCTATTGTTCTGCATAAACACAGACTGAGACAGTCCATGCTTCAGAGCACTTCTTTCTCATTTACAAGGCGATGCAGTGAGGGAGACAAGCAGAGGGAGGAAGGAAGAGGTTAATATGAACAGCTTACGTGCTTGAGTCCTTCATGAAAATGCTGATCTTTTTTCACATTCTTCCTCCTTTACTCACGTCTTTGCTTTTCTCTTCCCATTTCCCTTTGCTCTTTCTCTCTGGTTTTCTAGTTCAGTGGTGCGCAACCCGGGGCTGCCTTCCTCGGCAGGTGGCAATGCTTGGATCCAACCAGCCGCTTTTCTGGCTTCTCAGCTCGGCTTCCGACATACACATGGCGGGGGCGGAGGGAGTGGCAGGAGAGTGACCACGGCCCAACAATTAAAGGGACCGCTTCTGTTTTTCTCTCTACCAAATTCAGTGGCAGGGTTGCGAATGAAAAAAGGTTGCGCACCACTGTTCTAGTCCATAACATTAATTCTTTCCTTAGCTTCTGTGCCCCACTTGTCTCAGTATATCTATCTATCTTGTTGCCGCTCTTGATCTGTATGGCCCTTTCGCAGGCAGGTGCAAGTGCACATAGTGATGTTTGAGAAGGTTTTCTCCTACTTAGAATGAAGCCTCCAAGGAGAGCAGCTCATGGAAACAGTGTGATGTTAATGGGTCCCATAGAGGTTTTTTGCAAGTACACCATGTTGCTGTGATAGGAAACTGACAGAAGGTGGCGCTTTGGTACTGGACATGGATCCATTGCTTGGCTTAGCCAAAACATCCTGAGTAACTCACTTTGAGAAAAATACAGCCCTGAGTCTATTACCCTTTTAATGTTTCCTGTGGAGCACCCGGCAAACATACTTTTCCTTTCTGTTGATAGTATTTCACATGTTAGTCTGAGTTTTTGCTTAGATCTGACCCTGGAGATAGGAATACAGGGCAACAGGGGGATGCTGTGCTCTCCCTTGTACTGCTCTAGGGCAACCCTAGTTACTTGTGTGGCAGATTTAAGGAAGCCAGCAGAAACATGTTCCTAAATATGTCATTACTAACATTTCTGAACCCAAGTGGGTTTGCAGACAAAACCTTCATCACTGCTCCAGTAATGCAAAGGGAGGAGGGAGACTTTCAGGCTTTGAGTAAGTGATAGCTGGATTATTTAGTCAAGGTGAAGAGACAGCTAAGTGGGGTCCTGGCATCTGGGGATGTGGAACTCAAAACTGAGGAGTGCAGTTTGGGTTTACTGACCTAAGAACATAAGAACAGCCGTACTGGGTCAGACCAAAGGTCCATCTAGCCCAGTAGCCTGTCTGCCAACAGTGGCCAGCACCAGGTGCCCCAGAGAGGGTGGACCGAAGACAATGATCAAGCAATTTGTCTCCTGCCATCCCTCTCCATCCTCTGACAAACAGAGGCCAGGGACACCATTTTATCCCCTGGCTCATAGCCTTTTATGGACCTAACCTCCATGAAATTATCTAGCTTCTCTTTAAACTCTATTATAGTCCTAGCCTTCTCAGCCTCCTCTGGCAAGGAGTTCCACAGGTTGACAACACGCTGTGTGAAGAAGAACTTTCTTTTATTAGTTTTAAACCTGCTACCCATTAATTTCATTTGGTGTCCTCTAGTTCTTCTATTATGGGAACTAATAAATAACTTTTCTTTATCCGCCCTCTTCTTTATCCGCCCACTCATGATTTTATAGAATCATATCCCCCCTCAGTCTCCTCTTTTCTAAACTGACACATGCTCTGTTCTGGGGGATACTAGCTCTGTCTGAAAAGTGCCTCGTCTTGAGAGGATTCACTACTCTTAACAGAGGGTCTGGAGTTAGAAATGTTTTCCCAAGGGAAGTTAAAAAGCCTTCCATCACTTTGCCCCTTCTGGAATTTCTGTGTCCGTGGATTCAGAGGCAGCTATCTTGGTACAGGAAAGGAAGGATACACGGGGAGGTCTTGTCACTTTCTTCACATACTCTGATGCTACATCACACACACTGTATCCAGACTCGTCTCCAAAGTGAAGAGGATGGATTTTTCTGCTTAATCCAAAGGACTTCTTTTGCTCAAGGTAGTACCTCTATCACAGTTTAGGAGGGTGACCTATTAACTAATGTTCATTTTTATTGTATTTAGATCAGGCAAAAGTGTTTGTGAAAGTCTTCACTGAAATTGATCGGATGCCCCAACTCCTGGCTTATTATTACAAATGTCACAAGGTATCTAGTTTGTCATGCTCACATTTTAATTTGGGGGAGTGAAATGTGGAATTGTTCCTTGGGTTTGCCTACAGGGGGAGCTACCATTCTAGTCATCTCACTTGTCCAGTTTGAATTTGAGGATGGTGCCTGTTCTCTTCCATGTTCAATCCACCTGAATCTTTTCCTGGCGATGATTACTCCCCACACAGGGTTTTTGGGAATAACTCTCCAAAGGAGTCTTCCTGTGTCTTCAGTTAGTGGGCCAGATGAAAAGTGAACTTGTGTATTCAAAAAGGTTTCCCTCTGCCCCAAGAAGGTGTTTGGTGGTTGCTTTTTTTCCTTCTTTTATGATTTTTAGTCAGTATAAACTTTTTTGTAACTCACTTCTGCTGAATTATGGGAACTCTCTTCAGATGGGATTGGTATTCTGGATGATTCATTGACCTTAACCTGATCCATCAAATCCCTATTATCAGTGGGCCTTGTGAGGATTAGCTTCAGGGCTGGGGCCTGCCAAATATTTCAACTGTTATGGGGTGGTATTAGTTTCAGTCTCATTTATGAGTGAAATACCAAGGTTAATTAAATCTTCGGATAAGCCAAGAAGGGCTTCCCGTTTTAACGTCTGAGTCCTCTTGGGTGCTGAATGATAGCAGGCTGGCATGGTCAAATCTGAGGGGTACTGCCTTTGTGGAAAAGGCAGGTCTGAGTTGTCAAAGCCTGATTCTGTAGCATGAGTGACTTTTATTACCCCTGCAGGTGCAGCTCGTGGCAGCCTGGCAGGATCTGTGCCAAAGTGACTTAAGTTTAAATCGGCAGCTGACTGAACTGTATGATACTCTGCTTGGAACATGGCACTCACAACTCCAGTGGGTCACGCAGGTATAGTCACTCTCCGCTAACATCAGCGCAGTGCATGGGAACACAGTTTTCCAATTCCCATAAGGCTTAGAATAATTGACCAGTTCACAATCTCATTTTGTGCCTCTTCACTAAAGACTTGGAGCTTGTTTTCAGGATCCAGCTTATCTGCTGTCACAGGAAGATTAAATGTTTGACTCAAGACCAGTGGCAATATCACTGTATTGCTTCTGTTAAAGCTGCTCTATCTCTTTCATCTGTATCGTACATGAAATCTAATTTGTCAGTGTTTCATTTTGCTCTGTGGCAAAACATTTGAAATACCTGAATTTCATTATCGCCTGACCTAGAGGAGGCCCTGGAGGGATTGCTTGACTAATTTGTGGTGGTTTATGTGTGAATTCTGCTGGAACCCTTCAGGATAGTGCAGCTTGAATTTGTAAAGGCAGAGCTTATCATACTTACACCTGGCTCCTAAGGAATTAGCCTCTCTTCATTTAGTCTGACAAATTGCGTTGGACATTTGAGCCTGTCAGAGGTTTCTCCCATGAAGGGTAGCGAAGGTCATTATCTTTTGGGTATGAAGCCTGGAACAAGGGCTGTGGCCTTTCCTGCAAGGATCCCCAACCTTACTTTGAAATCATGTCTTTGGTATTTTTCCTGCATAACAACTAGTTTTGAATGCCAGTTCAGATGTTAGCTAACTATTCACTAGCATGTGTTCTAGCTGTGAAGGGCCTTGCCTTGTGGGCCAAAGCTCATGTCACCCAGTGCTTTTCTCCCCAGTCTTCCTGCACTGCCTCTGCTAGGAAAACCATTTTTTCCTTTCTTGTTCTACTTGCTGTCCATGGTCTTACTGCTGTGAGTTGGATACTGGGTTATAGGTCCTGACATGGCACTGCTGGTGGCTCTGTAAGTACCTAGAGAGAATGGCTGACCAATGATGATGTTAAAGGCCGCAGCAAACAAAGATGAGGGGAATGCATGTGACTTGAAGCTGGCCTTGCCCTGATCTAAGGGTATCATTTCCGAGCTGGTTCCAGGGCTAGAATGCCGTGTTTCCCAGCTCTCTCTTGTGCCCATTCACACTGGTCACCTAGCTGCTTCTCATGGGATTCTTGATTCCATTTCCTTTTGTCTTTCACATTCTGTTTGAAGACAGAGTGTGTTACTGAACAGTTGCCCATTGTTTGTCCTCCATTGATTCCAGCCTCTGCTCAACCTGATAGACCCTCTGTGGCCTTAAAGCACTCTTCTTGTCTGGGCTCTTTAAGTGACAACGATTAACTCTGCTTGCTTGTCATTTAGTCAGGCTGAGTCCGCAAGGTTCCTGAAATCTCGTCTCCCCTTGTCTGGTAACATTTGGCTTTTCAAACCGTTCCCCATTAGTGTTAGTTGGGATTGCACATGCCCAGGGAGGAGCCAGTGGTCTGTCAGTTAACCGAGTGCACAGTTCTTGATATGCCACACAATTGCCTCTTCATTTAAATGTCATTCTTGGGGCAGGTTAGTGTCTTCTGCCTTGTGCATTGTTTCTGGGGGCTTCTATGTGGCTTCTTTTGAGTAGAGAGATGAATATTTAACCTGTTAGCCAGTGGGGGCTGAAACAGCTCCCTGCCTGTCATAGGCACGGGGCTGCTCCGCCCTATAGGGAGCCTGGCGCAGCCCCTGCTGCAGTGGGGGAGGAGCTCTCCAGCTCAGCAGCAGGGGCCCCCACTTCCTCTCCCCTTAATTAGTTATCTGGTTAACCAATTAAATGGGATTTTTATCCCTACTGTTGACAGGTTGTTAAGCTGGTCTCAGGCTGGTGCTCTTGGAACATGCTGGCATGGGGAGGGCTTCTGTTCAGGGGCTCAGTTGACACACATGCTCATGCTAACAGCTTTCTTGTTCATGCAGGTATTTAAGAACCCCCATGAAATTGTGACTGTGCTGCTGATCCAAGCACTAGGAGCCTTGGTGCCATCGATTCCAGTTTGCCTCAGCACTGCAATGGAGAGAGCCAGCCAGGAATCCAAGCTACATAAGCTGCTGGAGCTGTATGACACCACAGCCCACTTTGCAAGAAGCTTGGAAGTAGCAATGCTGTCTAACTTAAGTAGGGGCTCTTATTTCAAATAGTCTCAGACTTCATGGTGTTTTTATGTAACCTTCTGAACAGCCCTCAGGCTCTGGGGTTTATTTTTTTTGTGTGGAAGGTGCTTCCACAATGTAGGACTTGGATTTAATCCACAATGTTTACGGTTTACATAATGTTTGCACTCATATTTGGGGCAAGTTATATATATATATATTGACACAATCCTTGCAGTGTTTACTGAAGCAGAGCTATTTTGATACCTTGCTACCTTGTGTAAATAATGCTTAGCACTTCCCTTTTACAAACACTTTTGTGGGTGAATCACAACATCCCTGTAAGATGAATCAGTTTTATTCCTGTCTTATAAATGGAGAAATGGAGTCAGAAGATACTTGACTTGCCTGATGTCATATGGCAGTAACAGCTCAGGAGTTCTTGGTTTAGACCTTGCTACTTTAAACAAGTTCTCCTGATCATTTGCTTTCTCAAACACTGCAAGGGAAAGTGTGCCAGAATGATTTTCACTGCAATTTAAAAATATTGTGGAAACCTTTCTTTTGGTCTTAGATGTTATAGAAACCACGTTTGGCCAAATTAAATTGCTAAGCCAAATTTTGTGATTTCTGACATCTTGTTTATGTTTAGTGCCTAAAAGTGTGCTGGTCAGAACAAAGTAAAGACTCTCTCCCAGCCCCAAAGCACTCACAATCTAATTTTAGACAGAAACCCATGAATGATTTATGCAAACCATTGGAGGTAAGGGAGGAAGGAAGGTGAGTTCACATAATGAGACCATATGATTATATAGGCTCAGCATAATTTTAATTTGTGAATGTTTATGGGTTTATCTTAATTTGGCACAGCATCCCTTCAGAGAGTGTTCAGGAAATTCACGTGTTAAGGTTGATGGGTTATCTTTTAATGCTGCATTTCCTGCCTGTGTTTGCTTTGCATCGTGCTCCTCAGTTATTTAAACCCAGTTTTAGTAGATCACATTTAATAGCTGTGCCATTCCAGGAAGTGTCTGTTTTTCTGTGCTTGTGTTCTGCTTTTCCTTGAAAGTCACTGTGCACTCTTAACGGGCACTTGCCACATACTGGTCTTAATCGGGGTGAATAATAAGTACCATAGACACTGTACGGAAGGAACTTGTAGAGAGGAGGCCAAAGCCTGTAAGATGAGGGAATAGGAAACCAGTTACTGAACTGTTGAGAGTAAAAGTTGGATTTGTAATTTGCATGTTACCCTGCAACAAGGTGGCATGGTCTAAAAGCAGCACCCAAAAGCAGAAGCATTCCAGGAATGGGGAGCTGAATGGCAGTGGTGCGTTGGGTCACCTGGTTCACTTTCAGACCCGATCAGGAGTGGGCGAGGCTGTGTAGTAGTCTACGTGAAATGGGTTGGGATCATTCGTTTTAGGTCTGGTTGCAGACTGTTCTTCCCTTGTAGAATCTTTGATAGGACACAAAATGAGACTATGCCCTCTTTAGGCAGGCACACGTCACTTGATTTCAGGCAGATTCCCTTGTCTCTCTGCAGGTTGGGATGGGTGATAGCTGGCTGGAAGTCTCATGGCTCCAGGTTGCTCTTGAGCAGCCAGGAATATGGCGTAACCGTTTCCTGCTCTACTTGTTGAAACCGAACACCTGGGTATTAAGGAGCCGATAGTGGTGATAGCCCCATTTGTTTAAAAAGTTAGCAACTCAGTTTAAAGCTGCTAAGCCAAGTTTCAAGGTGTTTGTGCCCATGGCAGTGCCTCTCAATGAGCACAACTCATTGAACAAGCCAATCATGCTGCTTTAAGGCCACCTTCTAGCAGTTCATTTATTTCTTCATAAACTCCTTTATATGTCCTTGCAGAAGAGCATAACCTGGTGAAAGTGATGGAACTGGTAGAAGTCGTGCATGGTCCTTATAAGCCCTACCAGCTCCGGTACGGAGACCTGGAAGAAGAAAATCTCCTCATCCAGATCAGCGCAGTGCCTCTGGTAATGTATGGTCTTCTGCTCCAGCAAGTCAGTAGTAATCAGCAGATAATTGAAGGCTGATGTTTATAAGTAGTTTAAAGCATCTTTGTCAGAGTGGTTGGAGCCTGGATTTGCCTAGCATCTTCCATCTGCAATTTCCTTTGATATCTTTGTTTTAATTAAATCTTGCTGTTGTCACGTAAGTTATAAAATTAATTCCAGCACCTTTGCCTGCTCCCGGGCAATCCTCCAGTCACCGGTGCTTTGTGCATCCAATGCAGGGGAAACCTTTGTGATAATCACTCAGCTTCAAGCCCCCAAGAGGTTATTAGAAACAAGGAAGAAAACCTGCGGCTTAATTCTGAGATCGCCTTGTGTCTTTGGTATATGTGTCCTTCAGTCGGGGTGAGCGGAGGTGGGATATTGTGCTAGGCACTGTACAGACTAGAAGATGGTCTCTGCCCCAAATTCTTAAGCTGTAGGAGGTGGGGATACCAAACCACTGCAAGGAGGCAACAATGACGGATAGTTACATAGATTAGCTGTGAGAATTCCTGCCTCCTCTGTTGTTTTCTTACCATAGACTGCATGGGTGGGAGAGGGGCAGGGAGTTCCCTGTGGAAGGATCTCCTTTAGCAGTGTTTCTCAGCCTGGGGGTTGCAAGTGCTGGGCCGGCTTTAGGAAGTGGCAGGCTGGGCCCTGTGAAGCTAAATTACATGCTTCAGCCCTGGGCCCGGCCTCCAGCCTTGAACGGCAGGGCTCGGACTCCAGCTGAGCAAGGGGATCAGTCTTTTTTCTTACAAAGCCCAAAAGGGATTGGGAGCAAAAAAGGTTGAGAGACGCTGTCCTGCAGGAAGGGTCGGTCCGTGCCTTCGTCTGGAGTGGCGATGGGAGTAGGAGAGGGCAGCCTGACTTTCAGCCTCCTACGCAGAGATGCAAACAAAGGAGACTGCTAGCCTCAGAGAACTCCACAGTTAGATGTTGAGGGGGAGGGATCCGTGTTGGTTTACGTATCCCCCTTGCCAGTCTGGGTGTTACAGCAACTAGAGTGTGTGATCCTAGTGCAGGGGTGGGCAAATCCCAGCACCCGTGGGCTAGATCCAGTCTGCCAGGGTTAGCCCTGGGTGGGCCCCCACGCTGCCATAGTTCCCTGCAGCTCCACAGGTACAGGGGATTGCAGCTCCTAATGGCTGCAAATCACCATCCATACCGGGGGAGGCGCAGGGAAATATAGCCACAGTGGCCCACCGGGGGCTAGCCCTGTGAACCGCCGCTGTTTTATTGCCCACCCCGTCCTAGTGTGTAGCTAACAGACAGGCCTGGTACGGTGTAGTGCTGCAGGGACACTAGTGGAAGGAGGCTTGGGATCGACCTGTGTATTTCTTGTTCTCCAGGAGCATTGGGAAGTAATTGACTGTGTCCAGGAACTGAACCACTCGGTGAACAAACTCTTCAGTCTGGCTTCTGGAGCCATCGACAACTGCATTAAACTCACCGATGGGCTGGGTGTTTGTGGGCTTCTCAAGGCACTGAAAGCTCTGTTCAAAAAGTAAGACATTTTTGGTCTAAATGCACTGACCCCTGGCGAGTCAGTGCATGGTGGCTCTGAATGCCTGAGGACTTTGGTTTGTGATAATGCCATGTTTCTGTTGACGCTAGGGATGAAAGTGACTAATTGGATAGTCGACTAGTCGCTTCTCCCCCTTGCTGCCTCTATCACAAAGATGCTGGCGGGAGCTGGCTTAAAAGTGGGTTCCCTCCAGCTCGGGGCGGGGGAGGAGGGGAGAAAGGGCGCAGCAGCAGCGTTCCAACTTTGAAGTGTACAAGGTCCCCACTGGGGCTCTTGCACATTTCAAAGCAGAAGTGCCCGCGTGGAGCCTGGGGTCAGCGGGACTCCCCACCGGCCCAGGCTCCACACGGCATTTCAATCTTTGTACATTTCAGGGGCTGAAACACACTAGTCCTTATTGACTAATCAAATAGTCGATGGAAATCCCATCAACCGTTCGATTAGTTAATTACTTGAAATTTGACATCCCTGGTTGTCACAGCTTGTGTTCAGCATAATCCCTTCCCTCGTGCTCTGCCACTCAACTCAGTCAAGAAGAGGCCCCAACTTGTTTGTTTCATGAAAAATGGAAGTGAAACATGACGGGCGTAAAACTCCCCATAGCTACCATTGGTCTGAATTTTCACTGATAAAGTGCTTCAAAGCACTTCTGGGAAAGAACCACTTTCCTAATGGGAGAGGCACGTTTGGCAGGAGAGCTTACACCTCAGTGGGAAACGTGTATTTGAGGTGCACAAGTGACCTTCCACTTGTGGTATTTGCTGCATAGCTTCCTTGGAGCGTAATGAGCAGCAGTAATTAAAGGCAATGTATTTTTCCTTATTAAATCTATTATATAGTTCCATCTCTGACAGCATTCCAGTACTGATTTCCTCTATTTATCCTTTTTTGCCCTGGGCCAAGGCAGCTACTAACCCTGCATAAACTAAGCCTCGGCGTCTGAGCAATATTGGTTCTGGGGGGAAGAGCCCTGTTCTGCGAGTGGGGGAAAGCAGTACTGGTGGAACGAGAGGTGTGAAAGCAGCAGTAGCATCGGACTTTGGCTCCGCTGTTCTAGAAGAGATGCTATGTTCTTATGTAGTCGTGCTAGTAATGGCAGAAGTGCCCTGCTCAGACCTGCATGATCACAATGGACCCGAGTTCCTTAGATGCAAAGCTATACTATGACTTCAGGCTGCTCTCACTGGTGCTCTAGGTGCCACCCTACCTCCACATTAGGCCTGGACCTGCCACTTCTAGCCTGCAATGTTGGAGGGGTTGGCACAGAGCACGGAATATCTCCTTTGTGCTCCTCTTTGTTCCAGTGATTTGGTTCTTTGCCTGGGATGAAGCGCTCTGCTCATAGCCTGAGGTCTTATTTCATTGTCCTTTGCTCCGTCTCTTTTACGTAGGTATGTGTCTGACTTCACTACTACTGTGCAGTCCATAAGAAAGAAGTGCAAACTGGATGATATCCCCTCAGACTCCCTCTTCCAGGAAGACTGGACTGCATTTCAAAACTCTATCCGGTAACGTGACAGTGTGAGCCAGGTTCATGGTGCAGCGCACACTGAAAACAGGGCTCTTGAGAAATGGCACCATGGCCTTTGGTCCTGAGATCAAGCAGGTTTTTAGGTGAAAATGGAAGGGGGCAGAAGAGGTCATTATTACACCCGGTTTTCTTGGGCTACGGTATTTTAACTTTTTTTTCGTTGTTGCTTAAGACTCCCTCCCAGAAGTGTGAAGAATCCCCGCTCCCATTCGCCAGGGCTTAGAACTTTGTTCTTTTTGTACCTTTGGCTAATGCTGAGTTTTTTTTGCCCACCCTTGGTCTGTCAGTTCCGAGCAGAGCTGAAGTTAACTAATGGACTCGTCTGTGGCAACAGCTATATGAAAGCTCTCTGATGTCTTCCCATGCAAACAACCCCTCTGGGGAGTATAGTTGCTGTTGTGGGAATGTTCCTAACCTGACAGCTGCTTCACAGCCAGGCTCTTGGGGAGAAGGGGGAGATTTTCCAAAGCATCTCCTTAGTAGAATGGAGACTTGCTAAGTTCTGAAAACCCTAACAAACCCCAAGGCAGTTGGAACCTGGAGTCTGTGTGTTTCAGGCCATAACCATCGGAACGCTCAGGGAAGGGACATTCCATATTCTAGGCCTCCAGTGTGATCTGCTTTAAAGGGGGTTTGACATCAGACAAGTGGGTCTCTGATGGGACCCAGCTAGTTCAGATTCACATGGGGCTATGACTGCCTGGCATCTAAGTTAGTGGGAGTGCTAGTATAGATTGAGCTCTAGGTGGCTATTGGCAGTTTAAATGCTACATTGACTAGTTCTGCTCAGAGCAGGGCACATCACTGGCACTAGTAGCAGCCACTACATCTGCCCCAGTTGGAGCCATGGGAGAAGTGTTGCGGAGATGAGTGCATGCAGACCTGGTTACATGGCAACACCACTAGGAGAGAGTGAAGATATGAGCATCAAGTTAACTGCCAACCTGACAGAGTTATTGCTGCCACGGGGAGAGCGCCCGCTAGTCATCCAGTGATGAACGTTATTCCAGGAGACTTGTGTACTAAGGCTAGATGGTGTGAGGGAGACACTGGGACCTTTGTGCTGCTTACTCCAGTTTCACAGTGTTTTGTTGTGTTCCCTCCCAGGATAATAGCTACTTGTGGTGAGCTCCTTCGGCAGTGTGGGGACTTTGAGCAGCAGCTAGCAAACAGGTAGGAAATGCTGGGGTTACCATGCAATCTGTATGAGTCTAGCTAATTCAGAGGTGCTCCGTCTGCATGGAGGCTGCAGGAGTGCAAGGGCCAATGAACTTCCGGAACGCTCAAGGAAGGGACATGCCATATTCTAGGCCTCCAGTACGATCTGCTTTAAAGGTGGTTTGACATCAGACAGGTGGGTCTCGGATGGGACCCAGCTAGTTCAGATTCACATGGGGCTATGTCTGCCTGCCCTATGTGGAAAAGTAGTGACACAGTCTGGCCACCTTGGTCTCCTCGGTCGAGATGCAAATGTGCAATAACGGTCTCTAAGGGAGGAAATAGCTTGACACGTGATGGGATAATAAAACAAAGCCGGGCTTTCTAAAGAGGGCTGGCTGGAGTAAGAGCAGGTGCTGGCAGAGTGAGGGAGTTTAGATACTTTGCTGTGTGGAATTGAGGTCCTCACAGCTATCCCAGGGAGGCAGGAAATGCAGCCAGTAAAGTTCCACCTGCTGCTGCAGGTGGGAAGCTGCTGAAGTTCTGATGAGCAGTTGATTGACAAGTCCACGTTTCAGGAGATTCAGGAGCTAGGTAAATAATCAGGCTACACCCAGAGCATGTCCTGTGGAGCTGGGGCTTCTGCTCGTTCCTCAGGGCGTCTGTAAATCCCCAGCCAATGGGAAGGGGAGTTGCAGTGTTGAAAGAGTGGCTTGTGGGGGAGCAGGCCAGGGCCGCTGTTCAAGGCTGCCCCAGCTCTTCGCCCTTCAAGGGTAGGAATGGGTTTATGGCTGGGTTGTCTCCCGTCCTGAGTTTGGATTTTGGAGATTGCGGCATGTTGCAGGCTTATTACTAGAGTCCCAACAGATACCTGGAGCTGCAGCGTGCCCTCCCACTGCCACTTGGAAGCAAGTTCCTGCTGCAGCTAGCTCTGTCTGTGGAACAGCCACCTTCTTGCTGAGACGTTCCTTGGGGCACAGAGAGCGCTCTTGGGGATTGCTGCTCCAGGATTGGCTGCTGGGGCAAAGGGTGGGGGGGGTCACCAGGGAGCATACCTGTTACCATTTCTGCCCGCTGTGGGAGGGAGGGTGTGCAACTTGGTAGGGCCGAGTGGACTAACCACAGGGCCGGGTAGAGGCTGCTTCATTTGTTTGTCAAAGGAAAAAAACTCTGGAGGGCAGGGGCCCTGCTAGACCTGCTCTCTGCTCGGTTCTCAAGCTGGAGCCTGGTGTGTCAGGAAAGCTGGTGATGCTCCTCATCAGGGACATGGGAGGAGATTCCAGGCTAGGCTGGGGCAGGCGCCATGGAGGAAGCTCAGGATTCCACTTGGAGCAGCCCAGGGCCAGCGTTAGTGCCGTGTGCTCGTAACTTTCAGTCGTGTTGGTTGGTTCCAGGATTTTATCCAGCGCTGGGAAGTATCTGTTGGACTCCTACAGCCCTTGTAGTCTGTCTGGCTTTCAGGATGCCCCCTCTGCAGAGAAGAAGAGCTCAGTTAAGAACCCCTGGCAGGAATTCAATTACCTCCTTAAGGAGACGCCGTCCGAAAACACTCCACACCCTGAAGGTAGGAGCGCAGTGCTGCTCGGGGCACCTCGGTGCCGGGACACTCTGGCAGTTGGGGCCACTGCGTTGCCTCCATAAAACCGGCCTGTTTGACTGGGAGGAGTGTTCCAAGTCCTCCCGACACAGCCAGTCCCTAAAGAATGAAATGTCCGCAGCCGGGAGGCTCTGGGCTCCCTCCTCCTCAGAGACGCACGGAGCTCTGCTTGTGTGCGGATGAGATCTCCTAAGGCAAGGGCAATGGAAAGTTGTGTTTGAGGGCCACCTTGAGCTCCAGGTGTGGTCATTGTCTTTCCAAGACTTTCTCAGCAAGTTGCACTCTGCTGGTGAACCCATCCTGAACTGTAATTCTGCATGTGCGTTCATCCGTGCCTGTGTGAGCAGGGTACAGCGACTCCGCTTATCTTCACCACAGATCTTAGTTATGCATGTTTGCCTTCATTAGATCGCTGGTAATAATAAAGCGAAGGCTCTTTGTTCTGTCGTCTTCCTTTTCCCAGGGTGTTCTGAGCACTTACGTTACATGTAACTCGTGCAGCTCTATCCTCAACATTACGCATTTGACCTGTGTAGAAAAACTAGTCATGTTTTCAGTGTTCAGCCTTCTCCGAATCAGCGTTATGCAAAGCCATTCCTTGATGCCTCACAGCAGGGTAGTTGCTTGTGCCCTTTGACCATGGTCATCTAAAGGTCATGTTTGTATTCCTCCTCCTCATCTCTGTGGCTTCCTAAGAGCTCTGGTGAGCAAATGGAGTCTGTTATCCAAGGTTTCTTGTAGTGATTGCCTGGCAGAGAGCATCCAAACCTCTGTGCTGTTGCCAAAGGAGTTTGGCGGACCGGAGAGACTCTTGGCTGGACTGTGGCTAGCAAGCCTGGATTTGTACTGCGTGGGGCGTGCAGAGGGCGGGCATGCTGCTGTGCGGGAGCGCTGAGACTCAGCCACAGTTGCTTGTGGGGAGTGCACACTGCAGTGGCAGCTCCTCCCCCTTTCAGCAGGTGCCACCCTTCCCTGCCCCTTGGGTAGGAAGGGGAGGTAATGCTCTGCACCCTTTGTGCTGCGCCCACTCAAAGCCTGCCTTTCTAATATTTTAACCGAGGCCTCCTAGGATCAGCTTAGCACACCCGTGTGTCCCCGTTCCCTTCTGTGCTAGGAGAAAGGGACGAGTAACCACAACCTGCTGTCTGCATCTCGAGCTGCCCTCACCCACCTCAACCAGCTAGCACACCAGTTGGCATTTGACTCTGTTTTCCTTCGCATCAAGCAGCAGCTCTTACTGATTTCCAAGATGGAGGTAAGTTCCCTTGATGATTCCACTGATCCAGCACAGCTAGTGGGGAGGTCCGGCATGGCTATCTCCTCACGCTTCATAGGCGCCAGGGACTAGTGAACGAAGTTCCCTCTAAGCTGCACAGCCACGCAGTTTCCTATTAAGCCCCATGCAGAGGGACTCAGGACTGCAGCAAGGAGAGATACCGCTCCCTAAGCTGCCATGGCCGGGAGAGAGGGAGCCCTAGTCCCAGAGGGTAGGGGTACCTTCCCCCAGCCTCAGCGCAGAGCAGCCCCAGCTGGGAGCGGCAGGGAGGTAGAGGGCAGGCGTCCCTCCTCTGGGCCCAGTACAGAGCTGCTGCTGCTAGAGCAGCTCTGTGCTGGGGCTGGCAGGGAAGTGGCCAGCAGCAGCTCTGGCTCCCAGTTGGGGGGCTCTGGGGCTCTGCACACTGGCTCTGTCCCCCATTGGCCAATGGGAGCTGGGGTGGCATTGCTTTTGGGCAAGAGCAGTGCGCGTAGCACGCCATGGAGCCTTTCCCCTCGTCCTCCTGGGGCACAGAGCCGCCTAGGTAAACCTGAGCCCCTACATCCTGCACCCCAACACAGCCATCTCCTATCCTCCAAATCCATCATCCCAGGCCCCAGGCCTGAGCTCCTCCCCATAGCCAGACTGCCTCTTGCATCCCCAAACCCCCATTTCCAGGCCCACCCCAGAGCCCACGCCTCCTCTGGAACCCTAAACCCCGCCTCAACCCACAGCTCCGTCTGTATTTCAAATCCCTTGGCCCCACCCTGGAGCCCCCTCCTGCACACCAAACCCCTCATCCCTAGCGCCCCCCAAAGTCCTCCCCCCCCCCAGCCAGAGTCCTTGACTTTTCTCACATCCCAACTGCCTGCCCAGCCCGGAGCCCCAGTTTAGAGCTCTCATCCCAACCCCTCAGCTCCAGCCCTGCCATACGCTATCCGTGTGCAGGGACTCGTTACGTGATCGATACATCCCCTCCGTATTGGCACTTACAGCGAAAGTCATTCCGCCCAGAGACACAACAAATTAGAGGGGTGGAACGCTGCTAACACGCCCTCGCTGCCTCTCTCGGATGCCTTCATGTCTCTGGGGGTTTCTCTCCTTACTCAGATGTGAACGTCCTTTGAACCGTGCTCTTGTGTCGGTGGGGAGCCCAAACAGACCCACCCCTCCACATCATCTGCTGGGATTTGTGTCTGCAGCATTCAGACAGTTCTGTGAAAAGAATTCATTTGCTCCTTCCTAGGGCTGGAGCTCAGGCGGCATTGGGGAGACGCTGACAGAGGACCTGCCGAACTTCAGTCTGACTCCTCTTGAATACATCAGCAACGTAAGCGCTCGTGGGGATAGTCGGCAGAGGCGCGTACTCTAGACCTACCCTTCGTGGCACCTCTCCCGTTGTGCAGCTGTTAGAGAGGCTGACTCAGATGGCAGAGCAATCCCACCAAGCACATAGCACAGGCGTCCCTGTTGTAGGCTGGGATCACTTTGCGTCCGCAGTGTGGCCGTTTTCCCTTCCGTAGCTGCGGCCTCTCCAGTTCTCCTGCTGCTGCAGAAGCTTCTGGTGTTGGGATGCCAAGAGTGAGTGGCAGCCAGGGCAGTGTTCCCTGCAAGCTGAGTGCTTGGGCAACCATCCAACAGAGAGTCAATTGCTGCCCAGCTGATTAGCAGAGCACCCCCAGCCAGCAGCATGGGTTTCCGCTGGTGGTGCACATCTGCACATGCCTCAGTGCACAGACCGATATTTATTCCGCACATGTCTGGAAAATATTAGAGAACACTGGCCAGGGCAACTGGTGAGGAGTGACAGCGGGGGAGACCAGGAGCCATGTGACCTTCTCCCTGCCCGGGGAAGGGCCAGAACAACCCCTCTCTGCCCCCGCCCCGCCTCTTCCCCCAACCACTGTGGCCTGGGGGGGTAGCGAACTTGGCGCTGGCAGTAAGGGTCTGGCCAGCATTCACCATAATGGCCCAGGGAAGCCTGAGCTCCTGGCAGCAGGGGAAGTGGAGCAACGTGGCCCAGCTCGTTCTGCTCCCCCCGCTCTGCTCTGCTTCCTGCTAACGAGTGCAGGGCGATTCCACCCCTTCCCCCGAGCGATGCAGATGGAAGAGCAAAGAGCTGGGGCTGCCTTGTTCCACGGCTCCTGCTGTTGCCTGTGAGAGAGGTGGGGCTGGACCCCTGCTACAGGCGCCAGACTCTCCCCCCGGCTAGTCCCCATGGACACCCCAGGACTCTGCCTGCTGGCTGCTAGTCAGCCTCTTGCCCCTCCTGCCCACGGTGTGGGGGTGCATGTGCCCCCTGCACATTGTCGCTGATGAGGCTAGGAGCCTCTCCGGATAGTCCTTGCCAGGTGCCCGGCCGGCTCTGTGTGAGGGTTATTCCCTAACCTCTGCCAATTGCTGCCTCTCGTTAGCACCTCTCAGTTGGACAGGGCAGTGATGCCAATGCCTGTGCCCGTGTGCAGGGATCCGTTCTAGACTCAGTCGTTCAGACCGACTGGCTGCTGATTGCTCACTCGACCCCAGTGTAACCTGCCAAACAGGAGGACGTCTGCTCTTTGCTGTGGTGCGCCCAGGGCAGCTCTGTGTCACGCACAAGCTGTGCTGCCGACATGAGGGCCCAAGCCCATGGGAGGCGATCCGTTCCCCTCTGGTGCTGGCATTCTGAAATTGCCTGGCCTGTTGGATGTGGGAGCTTGGGGCACGTCTACACAGCAGCATTCTTTCGGAATAACTAGCGCTATTTTGAAATAGCTTAGTCCGCATCTGCACGCAGGCAGCTGTTTCGAAGGAATGTCGAAATACTGTCAAGCTGGAGTCTTACTCCGATTCCTGTGACCCTGGTTGCACAAGGAGCAAGGGAAGGCGGGGGAGGAGGGCTCTGTTTCGTAATAAGTGCTGTGTAGATGCTCCCAATTTCAAAAGAAGCTGTTTTGAAATATGCTAGACAATTGACGTAGCTCAGTTTGCGTCGTTCATGTCCGGTGGAGCCCTGCTGCAGACACGCCCTTGCTGAGCTAGAGGGAGTTCCCCACTTATTTCTAACATCGGCCATCGGGGGGTTCTGTTCCAACAGAAGCTGGAGTTCACTTCCGGGTGTAGTGTACGCTGATGAGCTGCTGCCATGGCCAGTGGTCAGGCCGTGTCGATGGGGATCCCTCTCTAACCTTCGGGGAAGTGCCCACTTAGGGCACAAATCTGTAACTCAGTGTCACTCTTGCAATCCTTTATTGTCTCTCCTAGATTGGACAGTATATCATGTCCCTCCCACTTCACCTCGAGCCATTTGTTACGCAGGAAGACTCTGCTTTGGAACTGGCATTACATGCTGGAAAACTGCCCTACCCTCCAGAGCAAGGTAGGGCAAGACTGGGTCACTGAGGAGTCTGGGGGGAAGCATGTGTGTTAGCACTGCAGAGCGATGAGTGTTGGGGATGAGCCATCTGAGGCTGATTGCCTTGCTGACATGGTACCCTACTGTAGAACTGTAGAATGCCTTCCAGTTGTCCCGCATCGGTACTCACAACGAGACCCTAGGTAACGAGGAGAACTTCAGCACGGTCACTGAAACAAGCTTTAGGTCACGCTGTGTTGCTGTCTGTACTGAGGGAAGTTGCTCTGAAGATGAGCCCCCATGGTGGGGGTCTAAGTCTGTTATCGTTTGGTTCTCTAGGAACTCTCTTGTGATCAGAGTGAGGGCTCGTGAAATGCTCTAGTTGCCTGTGGGGGTCGAGTTGAATCCCAGCAGTAGCTGCACTTGATGTGTTCACTTAGTTCTAGCTCTGAGTCCTAGTTATTTGTATCCAAGCCTGGTTACTGTGGAAACCTGCATCATAAGCACCACTCTCTGGCTGACCCCGGACCACCTAAGTTGGAGAAAAACACTGTCCACAGAGCGCGCAGTTTGGATCATTGTCCAGCTAGCGGAAGCTCGTGTGATCTGACCATCCTAACAAGCCATGCCTTACATAGCACAGAGCAGACACGCAAGTGGAGAGATGGTGCTGGGGGAAGCAGGAGAGCTGCATGTCTGTCTGTCTCTGTCACTGCATCTGTAAAATGGGAGCATCAATACTTCCTGCTCAGTGTTGTAAAGTGCTCTGAACCACTGGGTGAACAGCACTACATGAGTGCCAAGACTGGTCATTAACTGAACTAGGAAATGAGGGAGAGTCACACTTCAACAAATTCACCCCACTTTGGTTAACATCAGCCTGTCCGAGATATCCCTCTGACCCCATAACCAGTGTTCTCTCTGGCCCCCAGGACCCAGCCCAACACCCCGTGTTCTGTGCACCGAGGGACGTGCACCACCCGTAGAAACACATGCTGGCTGCTGTGGGAGCTCCGCTAATCAGTTGGGCGGCATTGGAGTCTCTCCTGGGTGGCTGCCCTTGCACAGTTTACAGGGAACATGGCCTATAACCCTTTTCTGGGGCTGACTAATAAGCTTGCAGCAGCCTGTCAAATCTTCTCACCTTCTCTCTGTTCCCTGCTGTGCCCAAGACTCCCTGAGCTCCCCTGGCTTGCGTGCATCCAAACCTCCTCCTTTTAGAGCCCAGTTATAACTTGGGCCTTCATGACATCTCCTGGCAAAGAGCTCCACAAGTCGGCTGTGCTTTGTGTAAAGAAACACTCCTTTTGTGTGTCTGAAATCTGCTCCCTGATTTCGCTCGACCAAAAACTCTTCCCCCCACAAATCAGGTTCGTCTGGCTGCTTTTACCTTTTCCTCCCGTAGCTTGCTAAGAACATGACGGGTGTTTAGCTTTTGATGTTGTTTTGTCACATTAAAGTATTTTCATGTTTAAAATGGCTTCCTTAGCTTTCCGATCCCCTCGTGCGTAGCAGTGAGCAGGGAACACGTTGGGTGCATGTGTTCTGCAGGGGCATTTGTTGCTTAATGGACTCTCCTCCAGGGGAGGGCCATGTCTGCAGTAGAGACGCCGTATTGGCCAGACCCCAGCCCACTGTCGTGCACGGTCGCCTCACGTCCCTGGGGCAGTGGCTTAGTGAGACAGAGTGGCCTGAAGAAAGAGTGCCGTGTATTTAGCCACCTTTCGGGGTGAGATAGCAGCCGGTAATCGGGAACAGAGCTAGCTCCAGCCACCACCCTGTGCTCCGGAGCCCAGTCTAGGAACCACTTTGTCTGCGTTCCAGCACTTGGAGTGTTGCACATTAAGCTCCCTGTCCCTTTTAACAGCTAGCACAGAACTCACCCCCGGGGCAGACGGCGAGTTGGGGCTCTGAGGGCTAATGAGAACTCTCTGTTCAGGTGACGAGTTACCTGAGCTGGACAACATGGCTGACTACTGGCTAGGCTCCATCGCCAGAGCTACAATGCAGACCTACTGTGAAGTTATCCTGCAGATCCCGGAGCTCACCCTTCACTCAGCGAAGCAGCTTGCCACGGACATTGGTGAGCGCAGAGTATACGTTGTGTAGCCAGCTATGGCTCCCTCCACGCCAGTAACCTCCCAGACGGGCTGTTTGCTGCCCTTTTCCAAGGGGGAGCTGTTCGGCATCTTGCATTTTGAGGAAGTTGCTGCTGACTAGAGCTGAGAAGACTCTTCCCCACTGAGGCCGCAGTCCCACACGCGCCGTTAGTGCTGAGTGAAATGGCAGCTGGCAAAGCCGGAGAAATAAGCCAAGTGCTCAGGGTTAGAACCGGCAACTATGTTTTTGCAAGACTCCTCTCGTGGAGACAGGCGACTGGTGAAGGGGGGGCCTCGTGACATCCCCCTGCAACCCAGGGAAGGGCTGGGACAACAGGCCTCTGCCCTAGATTCTGCCCCTCCCCACCTCTTCCCTGTTCCCCGAGTGGTGCGGCCTGGGGACAGGCAGGGCCGGCACCGGCTGCAGGGGTCGCTCCTCCCTCGTGCTCACTGGCAGCAACGGGGGAAACAGCCCAGTGTCCCCAGCTCGCTTTGCTCTGCCTGCCGCATTGCTCCGCTTCTCATGCGGAGAAACTGGAGAGGGTCCAGAGAAGAGCAACAAGAACGATGAAAGGCCTGGAGAGCACGAGCTGTGAGGGGAGACTGAAGGAACTGGGCTGGTTTAGCTCAGAAAAGAGCAGACTGAGACGTGAGCGGGTTTCATGTATTTAACAGGCTGTCACAGGGAGGGAGAAAAATGGTTCCCCTTGGCCTCTGAGGGCAGGATGAGCAGCGATGGGCTGAAACCGCAGCCAGGGAGGTTTGGGTTGGATATTGGGAAAAGCTTCCTACCTGTCAGGGGGGTTAAACGCTGGAACAAATTGCCTAGGGAGGGTGTGGAATCCCCATCTCTGGAGAGATTTCAGAGCAGGTTGGTCTTGATGGTGCTGGGTCCTGCCATGAGGGCCGGGGACTGGACTTGATGACCCTTCGAGGTCCCTTCCGGTTCTGTGAGTGAGTATGGGGGGCGCTCTCGCCCCCAAGCGACATGGCCAAAGGAGTGCAGCAAGCTTGGGCCATTGCTCTGCTCGGCCTGCTGGTGCCAATGAGTGTGTGTGTGGGGGGGGGGGGGGAGGAAACAGACACCCTCCCCTACTAGTCTCCCCACCAGCTGCTGGCTGACCCTGCCTGTCCCCGATGTTAGGGGGCACATGACCCCTCGTCCCTTCCTTCCCTCACCCCGCATCACCTGTGTTCCTGGACACTTGGGTCTTTCCAACAGGTGTTCCAAGGGTAGGGAGAGAAGTAGAAGGTTTTAGACTATGGAAGCGATTGAGTCCTCTCACATTAGTCTGTGCAGTTACTAAAATGTAACAGCGTGCCCCCGTCCTGTGCCCAAAATCGCTGATCATGCGAAGCAGTCACTGACGAGCCAGAATACAAGCCAGGCATGTAGCTAGATTCCAGCCGCTCATCAGGTGCTGTGAGCTAGTGCTGATGGACAGACATCTGCTGTCGAGCCCTGTGACGGAGGCTTTGCTGTTCTGTGGCTTTGCTTTGGGGCTGTTGATATAGTAGCTGTTGTTTAAGTACATTTTGTGCTTCACTCTGTAGATTATCTGATCAATGTGATGGATGCCCTCGGCCTTCAGCCTTCTAAGACACTACAGAACATTGTCACTCTATTGAAGACCAAACCAGAAGACTACAGGCAAATAGCCAAGAGCTTGCCCCGCAGGTTAGCAAGCACCATCGCCACCATGAGAAGTCTGGACTATTAACTCCAAGCCCAGAAAAACATCGCTGATGAGCTGTTGTCTGACAGCTGAATTTCCTCCCTTGAATTTTTTCTCCAATGAACTCTCCAAGGGTGGGGGAAAGAGGAATTTATTTGAATCTCATTTAATACATTTCTTCATTTGGAAACGTCAGGAGAGCTCTGCGGGTGCTTTGAACTATGAAATGGAAAGGAAAAATGTCTTAATCACCGCACTTCCCTGTGATGAGGTAGAGTTGTCTTGTGACGAGTTCTGATGCTGCCTGGAGTGACCATGCCGCGTGACAGTAAGATGACTGGCTTTTGTAGTGCAGTCCAATCAATGCTGGCTGAAATTACAGGGTATGTGCAGTGTGGATCAGCTGAAATGAGGACTCTGCTACCCGCAGGCAAGGCCCATTGCTCAAGTCTTTCATTATCCACAATCTCATGAAGGTAGCATGTGGGCAATTAGCAGAAAAGGCAGGACCAAGCTAAGCCCTGGTGACAAAACCAGTTGAGTAGGTTGTTTCTCAGGAGATTAATGTTTTTTTCCTTCTGAAGCCATGTGAATTCTTTCCAAGGAATTGGATGTAGCCGTGTCATAGTCTTCTTGTGAAATGAATAAAGGGGTGATGTGTGGGTCTTTGCGAAAAGGCTTCTCTAATCTAGAAACACTACTCAGGTGAGAGCCTTGGGAGCTAATTAGGGAAAATACAAACTAATCCCACTGTTGGGACTTCGGCTATGTGAGGTCGTGGTTGATACAAACACCACTGGGGGAAACTCTGCGAGGCTCAACTTGTGGGGAACCATTTTTGGATGACATTTAAAATGCCAGGTTGGGGGGTAGGGAGAGGTTGGTGCTAGAAGAAGTTCCCTGGATCCTCTCACCCAGTGCAGTGTCAGTCTGAACTGCTTTAGGACTGTACTGTGGTTCCATTTTCTTGCCTATTTTTAATGCTCCTATGGCGTTGAAGAATGTGATACTTCATCTGCAGCATTTAACCAGTTCTTTTGGCAAGAGAGGAGTCCTGATCTGGAATGCAAACCAACCCAAATATTCAGGTGTGTCTTGATGCTCAGCACAAGCTGTCCCTGAAAGGGATTAAGACTCTCTGTTTCTGGCAGTGGCAGCCCTGAGATTTTACTGCTTTCCTATCAGAATGGAATCATCTATTTGACAGTGAACTTCCCTCCTCTGAATTGCTAAGTGTGCCCTTTATCTGGTGTGCTTAGTGAAATCTCCACTGCAAAGTTGATTTTCTTCTTTTCTTCCAGCACTTTGTCCTTTTCCCCTCGTTTTCCAGCTAGAATGGAGGCATTTTCCTCATCTCTGCTCGTTCCTCTCTGGATTTTCTCGCATGCTCTGCCAAAGGGGCAACTATTCATCATGAATCCTTTCACAGATCTCTCCTTGTCTTGAGTTCTGGAGGTTCTGACTCAGACGCATTCATGCAGATGAGGGCAGGCGCTTACTAAGCACATGAGAATGGCTATTCTGGGTCAGACCAAAGGTCCGTCTAGCCAACAGTGGCCAATGCCGGGTGCCCCAGAGGGAAGGAACAGAAGAGGCAGTCAATATCCGTCCCCTGTCACCTATTCCCAGCTTCTGGTAAACAGAGGCCGGGGACACCATCCCTGCCCATCCTGGCTAATAGCCATTGATGGACCTAACCACCATGAATCTAGCTAGCTCTTTTTTGAATCCTGTTATAGTCTTGGACTTCACAACATCCTGTGGCGAGGAGTTCCACAGCTTGATTGCATGTTGTGTGAAAAAATCCTTCCTTTTGTTTGTTTTAAATCTGCTGCCAATTAATTTAATTTGTGTTATAAAAAGGACTAACATTGCATTATCTACTTTCTGCACTCCAGTCATGATTTTATAGACCTCTATCAAATACCACCCCCTTAGTAGTGTCTTTCCAAGCTGAATCTTAATTGCTCCCTTTTCTAAATCTTTTTATCTCTTTTTGAGATGGGGTGACCACATCTACACACACTCTTGAAGATGTGGGCATAACATGGATGTATAGAGAGGCAATATGATATCTTGTTATCTATTCCTTTCTTAATGATTCCCAACATTCTGTTGGCTTTAACTGCCACTATACATTGAATGTATGTTTTCAGAGAACTGTCCACAATGACACCAAGATCTCTTTTTTGAGAGATCTCAAACAGTTTAGACCCATCATTTTATACATAGAGTTGAGATTGTTTTCCAATGTGCACTTTGCATTTATCGACTTTGAATTTCATCTGCCATTTTGTTGCCCAGTCAGCCAGGTTTGAGAGATCCTTTTGTAGCTCTTCACAGTCTGCTTGGCTCTTAGCTATCATGAGTAGTTTTTATCATCTGTCAATTTTGCAACCTCACTGCTTATCCCTTTTTCCAGATAATTTATGAACATATTACATAGGACTGAATTCAGAACAGACCACTGGAGAACACCACTAGTTATCTCTTTCCATTCTGAAAACTGGCCATTTATACCTAGCCTTTGTTTCCTGTCTTTTAGCCAATTAAGGACCTTCCTTCTCATTCTATGACGGCTTACTTTGCTTAAGAGCTTTTGGCAACAGACTTTGTAAAAGGCTTTCTGAAAATCTAAGTACGCTGTATCCACTGATTCCCCCTTTTCCATATGTTTGGTGACCCCCTTAAGGAAGTTTAAGTCGATAGGTAAAGCATGGTTTCACTTTACAAAAACGTTGACTCTTCCCTAACAAATTATGTTCATCTGTGTGTCTGACAGTTCTGTTCTTTGCTATAAGTTCAACCAGTTTGCCTAGTACTGAAGTCAATTACTGCCTGTAATTGCTGGGATCCTTTTTAAAAATGGACATCACATTAGCGATCCTTCAGTCCTTTTATTTAAACCAGCTTCTATAGCAAAGGTTACAAACTACAGTTAGTAGTTCTGCAGTTTGACATGTGAGTTCCTTCAGAACTCTTGGATAAATACCATCTGATCCTGCTGACTTATTACAGTTTAATTTACCCAAAATGTCCTCTAACGACACCTCAGTCTGGGACAGTTCCTCAGCTTTGTCACTGAAAAAGAATGGCTCAGGTTTGGGAATTTCTCATTCTCAGCTGGGAAGACTTGATGCACAGAATTCATTGAGTTTATCCGCAACAGCCTTCTTGTCCTTGAGTGCTCCTTAGCGCCTTCAGGTTGCCCAGTGGCCCTCTGGGTGTTGAGCAGGCTTTCTACTTCTGATGTATTTAAAATGGGTGGTGTTTTGAGTCTTTTCAGATCCTGTTTTTGCTGCCTTAATTATATTTTTACATTTCTTTTGCCAGAGTTTATGCTCTTTTCCATTTTCCCTACTAGGATTAAACTTCTACTTTTTAAAGGACGCCTTTTTGACTCTATTTCCTTTACTTTGTTGTTTAGCCAGAATGGCATTTTGGGGATGTATGTTTAAATTGAGCCTGTATTAGGATGTCTTTACAAACTTTCCGTGCATCTTACAGGGATTTCATTTTTGGCATTGTACTTTTTAATTTGTTTAACTAGCTTCATTATTTTAGTGTAATTCTGAAATTAAATGCCAGTGTTGGGTTGCTATCCTGTTTTCCTTGCCATAGGAATGTTAAATGTAATGATTTATGCTCCATGCTGCCAAGCAGTCCAACTATATTCATCTCTTGGACCAGATCCTGTGGTCTACTTGCAACTAAATCAAGAACTGCCTCTCTTCTTGTGGATTCTAGGACCAAGAAGCAGTGGTTTAAGCTATCAAGAAGCTTTTTCTGCATCCCGTTCTGAGGGGATGTATACCCATCCTTCCTGTACAGGCTTCCACTTTCCCAAAAGTTTCCCTGGTTCCTACTAAATCTAAACTTCTCCTCCCTGCTCCATCGTCTCATCCAAGCATTGAGACCCTGCAGTTCTGCCTGTCTAACTGACCCTGCGCATGGAACTAAAAGCATTTCAGAGAATCAATTTCTTAGGGTACGTCTACACTGCACACTCATTTTGAAATAAGCTATTCCGGAAGAAATACTCTGAAATAGCTTATTTTGAAATAGTGCGTCTACACTGCAGGGAAGCCTCAAAATTGGTCCGAAGCCTGCTTCCCTTATGTGGACGTGCTACCTCGATTTAGAGCCCAGGAGGCACTGGCGAGTAATTAGTTTGAATAGCCGTGGGGAGAAGCTGTTTCGAAATAGCAGCAGCAGAGTGTCCACGCTACGGCTGTTTCAGAAGAGGTGTTATTCCTCGTGGAATAGGTTTTCAGAAGTAGGAATAAGCGGTCCGTTATTTCAAATTTAGTTTTCAATAACAGAACTGCTGTGTAGACACATTGTTATTTTGAAATAACTGTGTTTTGTGTAGACGTACCCTTACCTAGCAGCTTAAATTTGGCCTCCAAGACCTCTCTCCTGTCCTTCCCTATGGCATTGGTACCTACATGACGCTGGGGAGGAGCTAGGCATAAGCCCCTTTTTGGATGTCTCGAGAGACCTGCAGTCTTAACACCAGGCAAGTCACCACGCAGTTCTCCCATTCATCGCAAACCCAGCTGTCTCTATTTCTAATGATTGAATCCCCCATAACTATTACCTGTCTCTTGGCAATAACTGGCGTTCCCTCCCCCGGAGAGGTATTCTCAGTGCGAGAGGATACCATAACATCATCCGGAAGGAGGTGCCCAACTACGGGATCGTTTCTCTCTGCTCCAGTTGGCTGCTGTTCTTCCCGGAGGCTTTCATCCTCAGGAGCACAGACGCTATCCGAGCAGGGGTTGACAGTTCTACAGTGTCCTGGAAAGTCTCATCTATGTACCTCTCTGTCTCCCTTAGCTCCTCCAGTTCAGCCATCCTGGCCTCCAAAGCCTGTACATGGTCCCTGAGGGCCAGGCGCTCCTTGAGCCACACGCACATATGTATCCCCTGCCCAAAGGGCAGGAAATCCTCCACGCTGCCTTGGGTCTAAGGAACTGGAGAGACGTTCGCTCTGGCGATGTTTTGTTTTTACCAGGGTGCTTTTGGCTTTAGGTTTAAAGATGTTTTATGCGTATGTGGCCCCCTCCCACACTTCCCCTGGGGAAGTCCCTCACAAAACTCCTGTCAGCCCGCTTCTAAGTGTCCCGGGGCAGCTTCTAAAGCCCTCGTCTTCCTGAGTAGTCCTGCTCCCTGGTGAAGGGTTGATGGGGGGCTACAGGCTGAGGGACCAAAACCTTGCAACGCTCTCAGCTGTGCAAGCCGTCTCCATTGCACTGCGGGTATGCAGCAGAGACCAGGACCTGATCTTCAGCCAGGTGTTTCTTTCTCTGCACCACTGCTTCCACGGGCAGCGTCCAGGGCCCGTACGGCGCATGCAGAACTAGAACCCTCCCTCAAGATGTGGGGAAATCAGATGACACAAAGGGTCTTGCTAAACCCAGCTGTGAAGGGTCAGAAGTGCTGCTGAGACCATGCCCCCGGGACTGGCCCTCTGAGCACCTCAACACAAACACCCATCAGCTTGTGTAACCAGGCAGCATTCAGGGGGGTCACCAAGCAGAAGCAAAACCCCCGTTTGCCCCTGCAGCTGTGTCAGGGGAAGCACGTCTGGGAGAGCTTGGGTGTGCACCGGGGAGGGGGGAATTGCAGACCTTGGTGACCGGATCTCCTGCCATCTCGTCTGCTCAGGCGGAT